TGTGATGTTAAAGTTAAAGTTGTAAATACTTCATCACAAGGGAAATTAGTCAAGCACTCTAAAAGTGTTTTCACACTCTTAATGTGGTGTACAGGGAGATATTAGAATAAGTTGAATCACTTTATCAGTCACAGTTTGCACTGTTTATATCATGTTTTTGTTGTTTTTATGTTATGTTTTTGTTGTTTTCATATCATGCTTTTGTTGTTTTTATATCATGCCTCTGTTGTTGTTATATCCTTTTGTTACTGTTTATTTACTAATAAATTTATATATTATTTTCATATACATTTTACTAATTCCCTTTCATCTCTCACACTTCTATTATATAGAAAGGGCAAATAGCAATATTAAAATATTTCCGCTACTTAATTCCCTTTTAATGTGCACAAATTTTGTGCACTGGGCTACTAGTAAGTATTAATATTCAGCCAAGGCTCAAACACTGTATTATTACATATCAAAAGACTACCCAGATACGTGGCTCTGACAGCAAACCTGCAAATGGTCTGATTTATGTTGGCTGCTCATCCAATATATATACTACAGGCCCGATGCATGAAGATTCATGCAAGAATGGGATTTCCTTCCCCTGGCTGCCAGCACCACCTTCGCTCTGGTTGGAGCCACCTTTCTGCTTTTGCTCCGGCCCGGAGCCACCTTTCCACCTTCCCACACTACCCAGAGGCCCGGAGTGGCTGGGATGGTGTGGAACACCTGCGTTGTCGCCATGGCGACAATGCAAGCGTCCTGCCCTGCCCCTGTGTATGCAAATTAACCTGCCATCTTTGTTGGGTTAATTTGCATACTCACTCCTGATTGGCTGGTGGGCATCACGAAGGTATGGTCAATTTGCATCTTTCTCTTTTATTAGTGTAGATGAGATGGGTTTTGATTTCCCACTCCAATGTTGGGTTAAATTGAAGCAAGAGACAGGGGTATGTGGATATAGTTTTCTAAACTTATAAGAGGAACCTACAGAACAGTTTAAGCATGCAGTAGCATTTGGGATTCTGGAGAAATTACTTACAGGGCAAATTAAGGGGTCATTACTGTCATGGACTGAAGGAAGGTTTGGGTGGGCTCGATTTGCTCTGTAGGTATCAGCACCTGTTTGCTCAG